GTATTTGAAGATGCCACTTTTGACTCAGGACAGTGGGCATCTTTCCTATTTTGTTTTCCTAGCCTGTGAATTAAAACAAATTAAAATCAAGAAAATAATCAGCAGATTAATCAGAGGCCCTTGAATTTTTTATTTCTACTTTATTCAGGACAGCACAGCATCCCACTTTGCAAGGCACAGAGGAGCTTGTCATTTGCATTTACACTGTCAAAGAGTAATGAGTTCATACTACTTATTGGTGAGACTGTGCAGACTATTTATGCCCTTCTGTGATTCAGTTTATACCAAGCCAGCGAGACATGATAGGGAGTGACTGTGCACATTCTTCTCCCTTTTCAGGCAGTGGGAATCATGTCAGCACATTCTGGGTCAGCATCCAACTGCACTGGTGAAAAGATGTGTCCTGTCCTCTACACAATTATAATGTAAAAGGCTCATGGAGAGACAGAATATTTCTTGTGTTAGTGCTTATCATACAAAGAAACATGGAGGAAAAACTGAACTGTGTTGGTTGGACTGTAGTCAACTAATAGCTGGTATCATCAGACTGTAAATGCTCTGACAGTTTTGACTAACTGAGGTTTTGGCTTAGAAATAAATCCTGCATTATGACTCACTTTGGTGAAATCTTTTTAAAGTAGTGAGCCCCCCCCCAAAGAGTTTTAGCTAAAAGTGTAGCTATATGAATGAGGCCGTTTCTTCTCAAGGACTTAATAAGCACTTGTACCTTCCACTGATTATATGCTTATTCAATGCCTTCATTCATTTTATTTGTCAGTCTTAATGGTAGACAGTAGTAGATAAATGAACATCATTTCAATTCATCACTGTTACATCCAGATAAAGGTGCACATTTAAAACAACTTTTAGCAAACACACAGTATGGGCTCACACAGCTGGTTCAGAGCAGGCAGTCTGGCACAAGTCTGTGTGCAAATCGGTCAAACTGAGTCAGGCCAGGTGTGGTTAGACCCCAAAGCATCATATTAATGATGTTTTTAACCCACTCAAGTGGGTCATGTATAGACTTGAAATATGAGCAATTTCCCATTTTATCCCAACAAAGTCTAACATGCAGACTTATTTATTAAACAGCTAAGCAATTCTTTCTGTTGACAATTCCAATCAGCTGAAACAGACTGGTGTCAAGTAGTTACAAATCAGTGAGTCAGAAAGACATAAAAATGCTGCTCTCTCCTGAATGGAACAAATGGCTTTTTAAGAGAGTAGAAGAGCAGCATGTTGAAGCTCATAGGACGTGATCTCAGGCTAAGTGAATTCACAAACACACACCGGATGACAAAGAAAATCTACAAGAAATATTCGCTCTTCAAATTTACATTAGTCTAAACACTGTTGCTACACTGGTTAGATATGGAGCATAAAGGATCTGTACCATAAAAACTGTGCCATGCATCCCTGAGGGTTCAGATTAGAGACATTCCGCATATACTGCGTTACTGTGCATTTTGTCTTAACTTTAGAAATATATCCAGACTATACCAATATCATCTCACCTTGGGCAATTACAGTGCCTTGCGAAAGTATTGCCTTGGACAATTACAGCAGCATTTTGCTGAAACCTTTGTATTTTCCTTCCTAAAAATAGTTGCATGCCATTTGACAGAACATTATTCATAGATCAGTGACATGCCTTCACTCCAGGAGGTCCAGGACGACCAGGGTTTCCATGTGGGCCAGGAGGACCCTGAAAACAGACACACACACACACGACACATAAGAAACAGAGTAAAGGTGAACATCAGGGTCACTGACCCCAGGCCCCATTTCAGCTGCAAAGAGGAGGTGGTTTTGTTATATGTGGTATTCACAGATAGATTTGCATACTGTTGCCTTTCCTCTGCTTGTGTGTGTTATGGGACATGGCAGCAGTGCCCCAGGTTCTCTCTGTGTTTATGAATAGGTGTCCTGTAAAACGTAGTGTGTCCTGCCTCCACCCCCATTCCCTCCTGCCTAAGTTATGACATATGGATGTGATTTTCCTCATCCGTACACTTTTCCACTGTTTTCTGGGGTCACACAATGAAGGGCACTCACACATCAGACCATACTCGTTGTGTGCCACAAAGTGTAGATATCTGTAATGCGCTTACAGTAGTTGTAATTTATATAATTCACTGAGCTATCTGTGCCAGGTGTTTTATTAAAAAGGGCTATCTCCTGCATATCAGTCCAAATTGGAAGACACACATAGAACGAGGAGATGAAATCCATTTTTTTTCTGGTTGAAGGGACTATAAATTCATGCATGCAGCAAAAAGGGACTGTTTGGGAAAATAAAGACAACTTCCTGAGACATCCAAGTGAAGACTTTTCAGTTCAGCTACACAACTGTGTGGTCTAGGGCTGAAACGCTGAGCATGGAAAAATCTTCCCAAGCAAAACTGAAAGCGCTGAAACATGTTCAGATGGCCCGAACAGAAAGCAACTGTGTTCAGCCCATTTCTTGATTTGTTCAAACTTTCATTGGGTTGTGAAGACGGACTTTTTCCCCAAGCTGACCGCGAAAGTGACGGATTGAGTAGGCCAAAAGGTGTAAGTGTACGGTTGGGTGATCCAGCAGGTCTCTGTTATTTATCTGTGCTCTATTATCAGGCAGCCTGCCTCCTCTCAAAGTGTCCAGACCTCTCCCCTCACAGATGCTCGCTGCTAGACATATGGAGACACTTAACAGAAGCTCATCTACAGATTTCCTCCTCCTCCATTTAGAGCATTCTCCTCTTCACTCACTCGATATTAAAACATATGGAAGTCATTATCTCCAGAAAGAAAGCAGAGGGGGGAGGAATAGTAAAGAAATAGGAAGGCTGAGACAGAATATTACAAATTGCATTCTTTCAGCACATAAGATGAAGGCACGGTGCTGATGAGAAGGTGGGTGGGTGTTATCCCGATGGAGATGGGAATAATGGGGAGAGTGAGTCACTTTGTTCATCTATCTTTGCGTGGGTGAGAAGAGGAAAGAAGATCCTCTTTGCTTAATTATTAAAAAGTGCTCCTGGCAGGAAACCATTTAGAAACCACCAGCACATAAACACAAACATACACACTAATGTAAACCCAGGTCAGCACATCCACAAATGCACACCAACACACGAGGCCAGCAGATAAAGGGCACCTGTACACCATGTGTGCTAATGGCTTTTACACAAGTGCTACTGTTTTTACAGGCCATTAACCCAGAACAGACCTGCAAAGACCTGCAGTGCACTGCAAGGAGGGAAATACTGTCTATTCTGATGATTACTCAATATAGTACATAGTATAAGATCTGACTTCCCATTTATTTTGGCAACAACCTCACAGCTAACTAAGTGCTAATTGTACAGTGTCCACAGTGTCTTAAGTCCAGTGGGAGAAGTTTTAAACATTTGGAGATACAACCTCAAAAGCATGGTCACCTTTTGTCTTGAGCCTGGAACAAGGAACAACCAACAAGCCCTAAGAGGAGGACCTCAAATTGCTACTGGAGACATAAGGCTGCAGTAGTTCTTCAATATAGGCAGTTGCTTGGCAAATGTAATCACAAGAATTTTGAAAGGGGACTTTGGATTCGACCGATGGCCAAAGTAAAGAGACTAGAACAGGTGTCACATCAGACCTTTTGGAGAACGCTGTCAAAGGCTTGGCAGTAATATACAGTATTTTGGACCAGGAAGGTCTTGCTAAGGCAGTTGAAAAAGTAATTACAATAGTCAAAACAGGATTATATAACCACATGAATAATCATCGCCATCTCAGCTAGGGACACTATGGGCCTGAGTTTCCTCAGCTGGTAGAAAGAGGAAGGAACCAAACAATTTACTGTACTTGTTGGCCAAGACTCAAAGCCTGGTCCATAGACATTCCTAAATTACTGAGATTAGAATTAACAGAAGGAGATGTCTAATCAAATGGAAGCTAAATTAAAATAGAATATCAGCTGAATCTGATCAAATTCACAATGAATTGAACTGTATCATATCATTCCATATGATTTTGTTTAGAATCAGGGACTATGTATCAAGATACAGATCAAATCCTGTAAAAAGGAAATACAACCCCTATTGATGAGATACAAGGTAAATCCTAATTCACCTAATTGCATCCATGTTTCCTTCACTTGTGTCGTTTCCTTGGGTCTTAGTCCCACCCGAGTAAGATGCAAGGAGAAACTGTGATGACAGAAGAACCAAGGAAACACATTTTAACTGACATGAGAAGTCCTGTCCTCGAGCCTTCATTTAGAAGCATCCATTTACAAAGGGATTTCCGACAAAGGGGTCTGTCAATCGATAACAGACTTCAGCAAAGAATCCACTCATGTATCCTCAGTTCAAGCTCCTCCAGGGAGCCTCCTTGCTCATCAGAGCAGAAATTAAATTGGGACATCCTTCATCATGACGGACCGGAACGAGTTCCGGAATGAGTAAGGATCGAAGAAGGATAAAATAAGGGTAATGGGATTCACCTATAGTTTGAATGACCATGCATCAAGAAATTGAGAAGAGCTGTTCCTGTTGAGTGCAAGTGACAGAAACCAGACTGAAATTTGTTTTGCTCATATCAGTCAGGTGTAAGTTGAGAGAATGATGCTTGGTTGTACTATTGGACATGATAATTATTATAAAAAGTAGTAGAAACCTTTGCTGAAGAGAGATGGTTTGATGTAAGCTTAGCTGGCGAATCACATTTGTGTTTCAGAATTGCACTTCTTTTGATTTTATAGATTTATGTCCAACAAACTGGAAATATAAAATACATCACCTCATCTGTAGAGGTGATGTATGGTATGTAGACTTGCCACATACTGAGAGCAGCAAGTGTTAATATTTTCATCAACTTAATTAACCAGTGTGTATAGTAACATTAATATTTAAGTAATGGAATGATTCCAGGTTTATGTATGCCCAGTTTTACTGCCACTGCTCAGGAATAATTCAGCACTGAACAACAAACTGCCTGTTGCTGGCATGTCGTGTGAACCCTCTGCCACTCAACTTCAACTCTGTAAATGTGCTTCCTATTAGCTTTAATACATTCAATAGCGGAAAATGTCTGTGCAACTAATAATGACCTAATCAAATCTCCAAGGGACTGCTCATTCATGGCTACACGTGTAATTCATTTCAGAATATTCTAAATTTTACAGCATGTATAATTTGTTTTCTGCAGCAATCAAAAGCTCATTGCTTGAGCCTCCATAGACTCTTTGTCACATAATATAGTGACAAGCGTTCCTTCAGCAATTGTGCAAAAGTTTTTTGAATTTCTCACAAACCCAGTTTCATATACTGACTACAACAGTGTCTGCACAAAGCCTTCTTTGATCTGCTCTGAAGCCTCTCCTTCAAGCCCGGGTGAACTCCGGCGCTCTGCCGGGCTTATGGCTGCGTCAAGGAACGCGGCCGGTCTCAAAGCAGAAGTGAGACTGTCTGCTCATTCAAACATGACACCTTGCTGTCAGAGAGGTAAAGCCCTGAAGGTACTGTCATTCCACCTGCTATAAAGCTTTTGTTATGAGTAAGAATACCTACACTTTCCACAGATAGGCCACAATGTTGGCACATTTTCTGCAACAGGAATAGTTTTGGTTTCACATCAACTCTCCCTGTGACTTCTTCTGACTCGACAGGAGAAAGTAATATGAGGAAAGAATCTTCCAAAGACTAGAGGTGCTTTCAGCAAATCAGACAATGTTGAGGAGAATAAATTCATCACATGCCCTCAATGTGTTTTAAATTTACTAACCAAAAATAGCTGGTGTCTTAATTTCGCACAGACACACTCATCCATGTCAAAATTTGTATTGATTTTCAACCACTAGCAGTACCAAGAAAACTACAGACATTGTTCAGCCTTCTTCAATCAATCTCCTTTCATGTGTAAAAACATGTACATTTGTGAAAACAAACGAGTTGAATCACTGCTCTTTGCTAACTTATAAAACAGCACACAATATTAAAAAAATCAATTCTTCTACTGTTGTAAACTTTAATTTCAAATGTTCCACCACAAGATTAAATATTTCTAATACATTCATCCCTCAAGCTTTCAGAAAAAGCTCTGACTCTTATTTGACCAAGTTTCTCTGATTAAAAGAGGTTGTTACATTTTACTGCAGTAAATATCACTTTAATTTCAAATGTTTGTACAGGTTTTACCCAGAATCAATTACAAGCTTTCTGTAGATCATGTGTTTCTGTTAGGTATTTCTTTCTAATTGCATAACTATCCAGGAAAATTCTGGTGGTTCAAGACAACAATCAGTAAAATCCTGAACTGCGCACGCTTTTTTTTTTTTTTTTTTTTTTTTTTTTTTTTTTTTTTTGCTGTGAGTTGTCGTGGTTTGCAGTTGGGTCTCAAGAGCTTGATGATGAATGAACTCTAGACACAGTCTTAAATGCCTTTAATAAGATGAGGACAAAGCCCTCTTTCTTGCTTGTTTAAAGAGATTGGGTTCCCACTGCCCTCCCCTCTGAGGCCTGACCGGAGGGCGCAGTCGCGCTGCCTGTGGCAGGCTGCTAATGCTCCCATACTCCTCAGTAGCACAAGTGCTCTGCAGGAGTACTTCAGCAGCAGATCTGCAAAAGAGCCACCAAAAGTGGTATCTCTTCTTTCTTCACTGCCTCTAGCAAAGTTTTTCCAGTTTAGGACTCACTGCACTGTAATTCCAAATTCAACCTCTCCTTTATTCACTTTCATACAAGGGTGATGAAGAGGCAGTTAAAAGGGCAGCAACTGCAAACTGTACAGAACCATCAGTTACATGGTCTTAGAAGGAAATTAAAATAACAAACTGTCCCCATGCGACAAATAATCTCCCAGGGTTGGCTCTCTTCTTAAACTTCCTCTGATATCGTGACCATAAAATAACATCTGCATTCACTATTTGGTTCCAGCAGGAACTCACAGCTGCAGACCGATACTGAGCCCGACTGAGACAGGGCACCAGAGTACTGAGTCCAGTACACTAGAAACATTCACCAGTGTTGATATCTATGCTTAATTTAGTACAAGTCCTGTTTATGTATGGGATATAAAGTGCATGTTCTGGAAACGTACTCTGTATACACACTTGCACAAGTTATTTTATTTTTTTATGTCAATGTAATACCTATCATATTTTATGTGGTTAATTAATAATATTGGCAACCTACAGATACAGAATGTAGCTTATGGTTGCTCTCCAGCTTTACAAATGGACCTTGGCAGCAAAGCAGCACAGCTTGATCAAACCCAGAGCCAAATTAAACTAATGTCTGGCTGAGTAATGCTCCATAATCCAAAGATGTCACTGTGCCTGATCAAAATGCTCACAGGTCTTCCATATCAGTACACTGCTAATAGTGTTGCTTCAGTATAATGCAGAAGACTCATTGTTGAGACATCATTAAGACAGAGTACAATACATACATATGTAAGGTCTTGAAGGTGGAACAGAAACATGGTAATGGAAAAAAGAAGAAGTGTATGGAATTAAATGGGAAACTTGTGACTGACTGGGAGACACTCACCCGTGGGCCCCTCTTCCCTGGCTTTCCTGACAACCCTGGAAGTCCTGAAAGTCCCTAAAAGGAAAAGATAAGAGATGTCAGGGAAACAATGAAGCTAATCTATAAATACAGTAAAGGAAATAAAAGTTGCTGCCTTTTCTTTTGTCATTTCAAGGGAGCCCTGGACATTTGAGAACAGTACAACAGAAGATTCAGAATAAAGAAAAATCACATGAAAGTCACTCAAGATAGATATTCAACCATTACAGTGCATTAAGTGTAAGTCTGAGTCACTGTACTGGCAGGGGGGTCAAGTTGGGGTCCAGGCGGGGGGTTCACCGGGGCCTCCAGCCACAACGACACACATAGCTTTAAATCAGTTTCATACATAAATTAGCAAAGCTCTCAAAGGTCAAAACTGATGAGGGGTCAATCTGAGGAGCCTGAGTTTGTTTGAGATGTTTGGAGTTTTACTTATTTTCCAGTGGCTCCACAAGTTTAAAGGAAGAGAAAAAGGAAACAGTTCAAGGCAGTGCAGCTGAAATTGGGATACAGTAATACTTTTGTCTGTCCCAGACAGGACTGATGGCTATAATAATACCGTTTCAGCAAGCACACACTATGAAAAGCCAAAGGGCTTTCAGCAACCTTTAGAGTTTTTTTTAAGTCTGCAGCCATTAGGTTGTCCACAGATCATAAGCAGTGTGAGCTGCAGTCACTGTTGAAATGGATATCAAGGGACTTCTAGAGTTCAAGGCCTTATAAAATTTATGCAATATACTGTATAAACAATATTTCTTCATGCCTTGAAACGCTAAGTCAGAATTTGACTTGAGATTATTCTGTCACAAATAACTGATTGAGTGTCAAATCTCACTACTATTTTACCTCTGAAAGTTTAAATGCTTTCTTTATGTTTTTCCTGGTCAGCAACAAACAAGAGTAGTGATCAAATTATTTGAAACTCAGGGTATAACATCCCAGTGGTTCACAACCTTCAAAGCAGCACAGCGAGGTTCAGAACTTCTCTCTCTAAAAGAAAACAAACACTCAAGAATGCACAAATCCAACTTTTCCACTCAAACCAACAGCAATACCTCATGTCAGGGTATTTGCCAATACGAGTACCTAGCTAATACAAATGCTTTTTCAGGCGAATAAAAGCCTGTTTGAAGTATGGGCATTGTTGTTTGTAAGGTAACATGATGCATAAGATTGATGTGGGACTTAAATAAATTCAATATCTGACACAGCAATCTGTTTAGCTAGAGTTATACTGAAACATTAGCAAGTGATACATTGGTGAAAGTCCTCAGAAGGTAACTTTTACGCCACCACATACTATGTATTGATCAGCATTAGTTAGTTCCTTGTCTCTGATAAAAATGGCCTGAGCAGATTCAGAGGCATGCGGAGCTGTGGTTTCCCTCACTGCCAAAGTAGGAAAGCTTTACTCAAAGCATTCTTTTGGTCAAAAAGACAGAGTACAAGACAGACAAGTCCTTTTCACATTGGAAAATGTGGGTAATAATTTCATGTTCAACGGATGAACAGTGCTTGACAGGACCATGTGGTCAATATGAATGTACACTCACCAACCACTTTATTAAGTACACCTCTACAATTATAAGCAACACTTCCACCTTAACATCAAGTTTATGAAGCTCAAAATGTTTAAGGTTTTGGTGAAATTGTCATTAATGTATAAATTCAATTATATGTTAAGGTGGTGTTGTACTGGACTAAGTTATATTTAGAAGTGTCTCTATATTTCTGTCCTCCCCAGCTACAAACAGGAGAGGGTCAGAATATTAGGAACACGTCTGTTATCAGGTGATGATAATGTTTAAACCAAGACAATCTGTGGTGCCTAATACTAAAGCTCTTAATAATGAGAATAAAGCAATGCATTCATATTGATGGGCCTTTAGATGCTTTGTACAAATCGTTAAATTGTGGACAAGTGCTTTTTTTTTTTTAACCTTTGACCCTTCTTTAAAAAGTGTACATTCTCTGAGCAGTCACACTCCCTCTGATTGGAATCCAACACCTCACCACCAGCCCCTCCACTCAGACAAACACTAAGTGGCAAAGATACGAACCTGACTATTTCTAGTACTGCTGCTAAAAGGAATTCACACATTAATCAGCACAAATTTGACATGAATAGAACATTTTTCACATGACACGGACTTCATGCAAGTCAAAAAACAAAAGTAGCAGAACTAATGAAGTGATTCAAAAATCCAGATCAGTTAGACAAGCACTGTATTTTTCTATTCAGATCAGCACACATTTTAGAGATGCAATACTTGGTGACTGTCACAACCAAGACACACATTAGCATCCACATCAGCAGCAATTCCAGATGTCAAAGAACAGCAAACTAATGTATAAACAACAAGCTGCAATTTGACCCAAAGCAAAGACAAATGGCAGCCAAGAATTACAACATGCATCCCACGCTTCAGCTGTCATAATTCATAAGACATCCATTAACAGAATAAACACTAATCACTGTACAAATCATAATATTTCTGCAGTTTATGCACAAAGTTGTGCTTATTGTGCTTCAAAGGTCTGATAAGTGTGATATTACTTGTACAAGTTTCAGGCACAGGTTTGTGTTGTGTTTGTTTAAAGCTCACACTCACCGGCAGCCCGGGCTCTCCCTTTAGTCCAGGTGGTCCAGCCAGCAGTGAGAACTGGGTCGGTTCCAGGTCAAATGTTTGGAAGCCATCTGTTGCAGCTTGAGTTATTGCAAATATTGAGGTGGGTTTGACATCCTGTACACTGGTCACTTTTGGCTCAGGTTCCTTTGGAGCTCCTGTGATTTGCTGCTTTCCTCTGGGAACATAGGTGTGTGAAGGAGAGCCCTGTGTAGCAGTAGCTGTGGTCTGTAGGTCCGGCTTCACCTCAGATGGTCTGGTGGAAGCAGGTATATCCATGCTATTTCCAGAAGGTTTATGGTTTTTGTTCTTTCTAATATGTGAATTTGGTGTTGGGTTTGATGGTGCCACACTCGTCCTAAGAGATGTAGTAACTGTTTGAGTCATAAACTTCAATGGGCTTTCCAAACCCGGATGAACTGAGGGAGAAACAGACACAGCACCAGGTTTTGGAGTGCTCACAGACTGTATCAGTGAGTGATCTCTTGAAATAAGAATTGTAGTCCTTGTGTTCCCCTCAGTCAAGGCCAAAGTGGGTCTCTGGCCCATTTTGGGAAGCTCTGTCAGTGACAGTGGAGTTATCTGAGTGACAGTAATGTTTGGGTCTGTAGAAAGCAGAGGTGGCAGTGGTGGAAACACAGGCCGATACGTGTCAGCTTCCCTGCAATGTTTTTTAATGTAGTCACAATAGTTATGAGCTGCCTTAGCAGAGGGATAAATGTCAAACTGACAGATGGCGCCTTCAAACGGCACCGAGTTGTGGTTAATTTTGCCCAGTAGGAAAGAGCCCTCTGGATCCAGGGCCTCCTCTTTTTTAGAATGCAAATATGCATGTACACTTCTGTTTCCACAAGAAGTATGTAAGAACACCTGATGGCCTTGAACAGACAAAGCCAGACTATGCCACCGGCCATCGTGGACATCATAGTCAAAACTCACAGAGCTGCTCTGCCCCACATGTACCAGGATCTTCCCAGGTACAAACTGCACTCCAAGCTGCAGTTTCCTTTTCTTAGACAGAACTGAGAAAAGAAAAGCGCTGTTGATGCGATGAAGAGACAAGCTCAGGATCAGGGTGATGTTAGTGGAGCTGTAGGTAGCAGGGATAACAGTGTGCAGAGGCACCTGTATACGTGCCCTGGGGGTGAGGATAACTCCAGACTTGAAGGGAATGATGCCATTGGGGGTGGATCGAGTGCCTGAAGGTGACAAGCCGCCTGCCCTTCGCCCAGAAAGCCCAAGCTGCTGCAGAACATCCACATCTTCAGAGAAATACAAAAGACAGAAGTCAGTGACTCTTAGCTTTGTAGTCCTCAAGATACTAAACAAGAACTTTTTCGTTTACAATATCATGATTTCTAAGATTATATGACCTAATAGAGCATGAACTGTCTTTTATATCCACCATTTTATAGCCTCTCATTTCAAAACCTCTAACAGGAATAACTTTTATATAATCCCCTGAGAAATACACAGCCTACACAAGGGCATAAAATAAAAACTATTACAATACATAAATATAAAAATGAAAAAGAAAAAAGTTCATTTCATTACACATTTTGCTTTTTATGTGCACTTAAAAAGCTATTTAGAATAAGATACTATGTTAATGTGCATAAAACAACTATAACATGATTCCACTCAAGAGAAATGATATGCATCTGAGTATAAACTGAAAAAGCAATAGTGCAGTAATAGAAGTAATCATTTAATATGTCATAATGTCAAGCTAGGAGTTTACAAGTTTAAAGTTCAGCTAGGACCACACATCAACATACACTTTTGGGGATTGCCACAAATGATGATATCGTTACATCACTCTTAATAAGCACAATTTCAGGAACTGGATGCTGAACTGGCCCCTGGGGAGGACAGCGGTGGTGTTTTGTTTTGTTTTTTATTAGTGCAGAGGCTGGTAATGTTTAAAACACTCACTCTGACAGGGGCCCAAGCTCGTGAAAACACACAGCAATTAAACCCTGCAGAAAACTGCAATTTGTATCTCAAGGAGCACAACATGGGTGATTTTTACACATTTAATGTTATCTGTATTATATATGGTTCCTATCTGGATCCACAACTTGAGTGTAATAAAATCCACATTTCACTGTAGCAAGAAACTCCTCAGACTTTTCAACTAGTGACATTTAAAGCATCTGCTTGCCTGCTGATGACCACCCATTACAGTAGGGTAACATAAAAATGAATACCCTGTGTAATGTGTAAAAGAACTGACATAAAAGTCTGAATATTTTAGTAAAGCTAAGTTAGGAGGAAAAGCTGGTTTTAACTGTGAAATCACTTCACAAGTTAAAAAAAAAAAAGATATATTTCGTTACCTCCAAACCTAACATGATGGTCACAACCCCCAAAATGAAAACCAATGAAACGGCATCACCAAGGTTATTCAAACTGAGATAGTACTTTTACAAGCATAACATTCAGTATTCTGTGAAAGTCAAATCTCATTTTGGTTCTAACATCATAACAGACTGAAAATGTTCCATTATTATACTACTGTCTATTGTTAGGCAGTGGTTCAAGTCATCAGTAATGTCAAACAAAGGCTTTTTTTGTTTAGTTTAGCAAGGTTGGAAAAGATGAACTGATCATCCTCAGTAATCAGTATATCCTGAATACTGTATGGCAATTCCCTCAATGGGTTCAATGTACAAACTAAACACTTGCATACAGATCTCAAATATCCACTCTTTCTGGACTAATACAAAACAAATGTGGGCAAGACTGAAACAAGCTGCTAAATGGTGAACTGCAACTCAGCAGAGAAGTGTAGACAGCAGACCAGAGGGAAACCCTGCTCAGTGTATGCAGGCAGTGGGAGGTCAGCTCTTTTGAAAAACTCCCACATAGAGAAGAAACTGATACAACAACAAAGACTGTCTTCAGCTAAGCTCCCATATAGCACTCTTTTGAATTAGCATGGCTTGAAAAAGAGCAAAATTGTTCTTTCATTTTGTGATTTACCTTCAGGGCTTTCCCTGCATTTCTATATCTAATCAGGTAAGCAGTGTGTCTAAGGCTTTTCGTGACCTCCTGCTGAGCTGGGGGAAAAGTAAAACACATCCTTTAAACAAAGGAACTTGAGAACAAGTGTAGCACACAACACAACTTTTCTCAGACAGCTAGCATGTTGCACTATTAGTATGCTGTCAATGCAGACTTCAGATTTCCTGCAGCTGCTTCATATTACAAACCTTATGGAGACACTAAAAAATAATGTAGATGGATATTAACAATTGGTTTATTCCACTAACTGTATATAAAAGATGGACGAACCCTCTGTTTCGTCACCCATTGGTTTTCTGAAGAGCAGTTTTGAAGCTCAGGTCTGGTTGTCGCCATCTTGTTAATGCTACACTCCACCTGCTACAGCTAATCTGAAAATGGGCAAAGATGTGAAGCATGAGTGGAGCCTACCAGCCAGCGGCTAACCACCTGTGGCAGGACCCTCCCACCTGTCACTCAAAGTGACCCCGCCCTTAATGAATGCATGTTGGCCTTAATTTAGATTAAATGAGCGAGTTATAAAAAAAAGTACCCCACCCCACACAGTTGTCATGGAAGGGGAAATTAGCTATAAAGGCCACAACTGTTTTTTGTACCTGACTGTAAACATGTTTATTATGGGAGTCTATGGAGCCAGCTTCCAGTGGCCATACACGGAACTGCAAGTTTTAACACTTCCACATCAGCTTAATGTCTCAGTCAAAAGTCAAAAAGTAAAGGCCTTTCAATACATTTAAGTTTCCTTCGGGTGTAAAAAGTAGAAGTAGCAGTCCATGGGGTAGAACTCTCATAACTGCAAAGGAAAGGCTGCAGCACACCAGTTTAATGCTCTGGAGTTCAGTCAGCTCCTTGCAAACAAATGATACAACAAATTGTGATTGCACAACTTCCACTGCAAGTGATCCTCTTATGAAAAGAGCAGACAACACAGAGTCCACACAGAATCTTTCAAATAGTCTGCAGGGGTTTACACTATGCCAGCAGAACTGTATTTCCAGTGCAGCCTTCTAAATGTATAGTCTCATTAGGGTCTGAGAGTTTGCAAATTAAAACAAGACTTTAGACATTTAAAAGTCATTACAGAAGGAAAACATCTAAAAAGTATCTAGAAACTAGAAAGAGCTCTGACTGAATAGGATCTGGCAGACTGTGACTGACAGCAAAATCAGACCACATGCTCATCAACAGAAAGTTGACCGCAACAGTCATCAAAGGCACAGCTTAGTGTAAGTCAAAATAAAAAAGCACACACTTCAAGTGAGTAGGGATGACGCATGGCTGATAACACCTTGGAAACCTTTATTAAGGCATCAGACAGGTATGAGGCTCGCTTAGGCATTGTCTCATAAGGACTGAACATTTGCATCTTGGAAAAGATTTATAGGATCATTAGCCTGTTTCCAATTAAAATCCTTTCCAGCAAAGTAAATATCTGAAACACATCTAAATGTGCATATTCTTTTACTTTTTTCACATTTTGCAGTATGTGCAATGATTGCAGTGCCTCCAGCAGAACTGCTAAGGTTCTGGGGTATTTTAAATTCTTTTTACTGACAGTATGAGATGCAGTGAAAGCAGAATGTGATGCTCTACTTCCACCATATCCTCACCCACAAATTGCTCAGAAAACAGTGCCATGAATAGGAAGTCATATTATGAAGAACATCTGTGGTTTCCTGCTAGTCCAGTCTCAAAGTATTCAGCAAACAGCCATCACCTCATGTGAAAAAGAGCAGCCCATCTCTTATGAACACTTAATCTGCTTTTCAGGGACGAGTAAGCATAATGAACCAGAGTTTGTGGCCTTGATAGATCCAACAGCACCGCTGACCGAGGTACAGCTAAGAGGAAATATAAACTCTGATCACCTTGGTCACACATAATCCTTGGTAACTTGGACAAACATGTGCACAACAAGGGGCCTATGTCAAGGTAGCTAGACTTTCTTCACCCATTTTTCATTTGCACTACTGTTCAACTGCATATAATCATTATACCATCAAGGTATGACCTGAATACTCTCATTGTGGTGCGGTGCATAGGAAACACCTGAAACATTTCACTGTAACCTCCCATAAATCAATTTTAAATTCCCTTCCTACACTGTAACATTAAAAGTTCAATATCATTAGAGTCGCATAAAAAAACAGCATATACCCATCCTTGTCAAAACCTGCTTACCTTGTGCTTGAGCAAGCCTTAGAGAGCAGGTGCAACAGAGAATAGCCCAGAGAATCAGAACTCTCCTACAGAGAAAGAAGAAAGGTTGAAACTATTATGGCAGATAGTCACAGTGCAGATAATGTTAGAGACTGTTCTTTACATTTCCTTAATCTTTCTGATGTGTTTTGGAGTAATATTAAGTCTCTAAAATGCCAAAAGCAATGATACACTCCCATCAAAGGTAACCAGAACCTTTTATCCCTTCCATTAATTTTAGTCAGCAAGAAAAACATGTATTCACTGATTTAATCAAGTCAAGGTAAAGTGAAATAAATATTAGAATTTTTGAAGTTTTGACAAAGAGATTGATGGTATGATTAATCAACTAAGTGTTTCAGCTCCTAATTAATCCCTGACTGCTCTAATTAAAAGTCACAATATTGAATCAGAAGTTGCAGAACTTAGTGTAGGCCTACACTATAACAAGTAAGGCCTGAAATATACTTCATGCAAGTACACAAACACAGAAACTTTGAGCTACACAAGATCCATTTCACATGTTGTTGTTGCATTTTTGCATGTCACCTAAAATTCCTTATGTGACACACGTGTATGTTGCACTCTGCACTGCTGCTAAAGGGCGCTGTAGCATGAAAAAGAGAAAGTACATAACCCCAGCCTGTAAAAGTGCATGTTGACAATGATCACAGGGGACGTATTAAAACTCTTAATGCTCATACGCCATAAGCTTCCACCTACCACAGAATGATAGACAGCATCACCAGCAGCTCAGCTTTGTTCAAAGAATCTCACATCTGTTTCAAAACAACAAGCTTCATCTTATCTAGCCCCCACCAGATGAGCTACTGCACAGCAGGTCCACTGAAAAATCTACATGACACTGCATCGAATTACATTTTCAAATGATACTGTAGATATAGACAGGTGACAATTTGGGCCACCACATGCCACCAAGAACAGCTTCAGTGCACCTTGGCATTGATTCTACAAGTCTCTGAACTCTGTTGGAAGGATGAACACTGTTCTTCCAAAAGAACACGTGGGTCCAAAAGGTGGGTCCCATAGGTGTTCAGCTAAGTTGAGATCTGGTGACAAGTGAATTCAAACCATGCCAGCAACTTTCTTGTTTCTCCACTCATTTATTCAGGTTTTTCCTTTAACTTGTCACCCGTCCCTATATATGAATGTTGATCGATGCTGCATTTTATTCTATAACACCTGAGCTTTTCAGTAACTGAGACAAACTGCCTTGATAATACCTTGTGCAACTCACTGTTCAGCCGAAGCTTTCGAGGAGGTTTTGTGGATCAAAAAGGTGCCGAATTTTCAACCTAACAAAGACCACAATATATGGATAACAGTAACATTTGTGAACTTACATCAAATGGTGATACAACTGCTCACACATAAAGAGCTGATATGGTTCTAAAGATGTTAGGCCTAAATGATCTTTGAGTGTGACCTCATTATCACAAAGATAATGGTGATTTTCACCCTCTTGTAACAGAAACTGCTGAGCAACTCATGTCTGGAGTTGCATAGGTTCAGCGACTACTGCCATAATGGACTTACAGGACATCTTCTACATCTGTGGTTTTCCAGAGAACTGGTGAAAACTGCTGGTCAACCACTGACACACTGGCTGTTGGTTCATGCTCTTAAGAGTTTTCCTTCCTCCACTGAGTCTCATTCACTGCTCTCACACTACACTGACATTAGAAGCAGAAACACAAAAAAGGGGGACTGCAGTTTGTGACTCTAATATGTGCAGCGGGATCATATGATGCAACAGTTTGACTTGTATTTCCCCTCCCATGGAGAGAGCCAGCCAGCCAGCTGAGTGAAACACACAGCAGGGAGGAGAGAAGAGGAGGAGGAGGAGGAGGAGGAGGAGGTTAAGGAGGAGAAGACTGTCTCCTCCTCTCATACATCTCACACAAATCAGTCCCAGATCGTTTGGCAGCTCATTCTGATACAAGCTGCAAAGACAATATAACTAAAGCAGAGCACGCTACACTGGCTTCCAGTGAACTGTGTGAGGAGCAGATAAATGGGATTACACATGCTAAGCAGCCACCTATTAAACGCTGTTCCAATGTATAACTGCAAACCGTTTCAAACATGGATGTTAAAAGTTTGCCTAATTCATCAGCGCAACATTCAATTTCTGTAACAAGGTTTTCAGCCTACTAGTGGATAATACTACAACTTTTATGAACGCTACCAACTAAACGAATACCACTGTCAAACGGACATGACACCTTGTTATGACGCAGGTGATGTTCACGAGAATATGAATGACTCTCTTGAACCTGATAACCCACAAAAACAATGAGAGAAATTGTCTGTATCAACTCACCCCCCGACTCCAGTGGTTTTGAGTTTGGAGTACGGGGCATTGTCCGGCTCCATAGCGGTTATCTCATTCTTTCTTAGGAGTTTTTACTACAGTCCAGACGAGATAAAGTTTTTCCATCCCAGGTGTTCCTCCAGCGTCGCGTGAGAAGTGAACGTGCCAGAAAGCAACAACAAAGCAACAACAAGCCAAACACTGTGGGATTAACCAGCGGTGTAAACGCCGCTTTCTCTCATTGTCTTATCTCTGCTTGTTCCTGTAGTTTCCTTCCAGAAGATGACACCAAATTTTTGGAGAAGACGCTCCGGAGAGCTCCACCTGTGCGCTTACTTTATTTTTCCATATTCCTTTCGCGTGTTTTGCAAAGTATAATGAACGTCAAGTCAAGGAGAAGGGTAAGACCTCCGTTACGTGGGTGTATGTGTGTCGACTTCGCAAAATGAAAGTTTATTGTGAACTGAGGAAATCTTGAGAGCCGGGAAGGGGGAACACCTCCCTCTGTCGCCCTCACGACCGTGCAGCGCTCCTTCAGATGAAGGTGTGTCCTGGAAAGCAGGAAACTCTCACATACTGTAGCACGTTTAACATGAATATACTGTGTGTGGCTTTCAGACAGTCACTGGCAAAAATGACGGTATTAAATTAGGCTTGAACTCAGACAAGAAGGAGTTGTGCATCTGACAGCGGAAAGCTGCGTGTTTCAGGGCCACACCCACAATTTTAGAAATACGGAGGCCACAGGCCCGGGCCCCCGAATGTTTAAAATATATACTTTAATATTTTTTAAAGATTCAATTACAAATACAAAAGATATTTAAGTACTGTATGTCACAGTAAAACCTCAGGTTTAAGTTGCAGAAATGATGTTGGTTGAATTTCATTTTGCTGCGTCAGTTTCAGGGTCCCAGTATTATGCATGTGGCTCATTTTCACACTGTCACAGCCTACTGGGACACTTAAAAAAGAACAGAGCCATCGTTAATGTTATTGGTAACACACACTTTTTCTTCATTGACAAGTCAAAATATCTGCTGAACAAAAGGCCTTTTTTTATAAATTTTTCTTGGCTTTCAAAATTAAAACAAGTTGTGCAGCTTCTCTCTGGTTTACTATGGTTCATTCAGCTTGTGAGAGGAATGGCAAAACCTTTACAGTATGTGTTTGACAGATGAAATTTTCTCTGGCTGTGGTGTTTTCCATTTTTTAAGAAAGGGGCGATTCATTTCATCAAGTGAATTTTTAACAAATGGAGCAGCTTTTTGGGACCACCTTTTTTTCACTTTCTCCTTCATGAGCATCCATTTCCATTCTCACCAGAGTAGCAGGGAACTGAGTTGCAGTTCTGCACTGGTTCCAGTCTGTGTGTGTGTGTGTGTGTGTGTGTGTGTGTGTGTGTGTGTGCTCGTGCACTGTTGTGCACTGTGAAATTCCTCTGCCAAAGAAAGTCCTCTTTGACCTCACTTGAGCAAACATGCTATGACAGTGTCCAGAGGAGACCCAACAGAGCACCAATTCAGCTGCCTGCAACTGAATCCCTCCTCACACAGAGCCCCCTCACAGTTCATCCTCGCTGGGCCAGGAAGGAAGGGAGCTCAGCACCTTGAAAGAGCACATCCCATGTACCTGTCTGAGCTATGCCGGATGTAAGCTTCTGTTACCACCAGTTTCACTTCACAGACAGAAGGGCAATGTCCTCGCGGCCTGTAGAACAGCGTAGAGGAGGATCTCTAATCTCGGGTGTAAAGTTTCATGGAGCCTGTCATACAGGAGCCTGTGGAAGCAGTTCTCAAACTGTGGTCCAGGATCTGCTAACTGTTCTTGAATGCATGCCAGGGGACGCCAAGAGGAATAGTTTAAAGCAAAAGTTTCCAGAATGTGGGGAAATACTATTAATTACTCACTTACAAAGAGTTAGATGAAAATATTTATACCACTTCCATGTCTGTATGATAAATATTAAGCTTCAAGCAGCAGCTAGTTAGCGTAGCCTAAACACTTTATGCCTCATAGCCTGAATCTGGCCAGAGGAAACAAAATCTGCTTACCAGCACCTCTAAAGCTCGCTAATTATCTTATTTTATCTAATTGTGGTTTTATATGGGACCTTAGGAAGTCATTGTGCTTAAACACAAAAAAGTCCAGTACGTAGCCCCCGTATAATTTTTAGTCATTTTTATGTAATTTTTACAGTCAGTTTTATGTGTATAATAAACAAACAAGATATAACTAAAGCCCATTTATTTCTACTGAAGATGTAAATCTTTTAAATCATGTCACAAATATAGTTTCATTTTTATGTTTCAAGTCTAAATAATTTTTTTAAAACTTCTGGGTCATGTCGCAAATATCACTCAGACTCAGTATCAGAAAACATTATTTTCCCCTTGCGGACTAATACATATTTGGTGTGCTAGCAAGTATTTACAGGAGAAGTATGGTTTTAGACTTGTATAGTGCTTTTCTATGCATTGCAGCACACTTGAAGCCCTTTCCTACTACTTGGCCATTCATCCATTTGCACTCCCAAACTGGTGTCATCACTGGGAGTTCACTATCTTGCATATTTGGACTGGACAAGCCGGGAATCAAACCGCTAATCTTGCTGTTAGGAAACGGCCCGTTCTACTTCCTGAGCCACAGCCGCTCTGTGTGCTGTAATGGCAGTGTTGATGTGCATGGTAACAAAGCAACATGTCACACTGTGTAGAGGTGTGGTTTACTGGTTTTGTTTTTAATTGTTTTGGGAGCACTGGAGCTCTTTTGCACAAAGGAGCAAGGCAATACATGTTAGTGGGATCACTGGTTTGGACCTTTCATGGGACTATGTTGACAATAAGACAAAGAATATCACCAGCCTTATCCTTTAATGCACAATAATAGAAGCAGTAGCTGTCAGCGTCTCTCCCTTCCCAAGCAATGCAGGCAGTAGAAAGTAACTGCTATAGTATGTAAAGTCTTCCCAGGTATAATTCTCTTGGGACAGATTGATCTTAGTGGTCTGATACATATCATGGCAGTCCTTGACGCGTAAAAGTTTGAGAGCAGATTTCACATTGGCCTTTGAGAAAATGCAAAAGCACTGTAATTTTATCACCAATTTCCTGACAGCAGCTCAATAAGAGCATCTTCCAATCCAAGCAAAGACCTTTTTCCATTTTCTGTTCATGCCAAGAGCCTGTTTCATGGAAACCAAGAAATAAGCTGTGGTGGAAAAAGAGGTTAAACAGCTGCTTTTTTTTCTTTAAGGTACCCGGAAGTGAGTTTTTCTAGTATTTTATGGGTTGATTTTCTTCCACTCATCACACATAACCGCCCTCCTGGCCACCACCTATAATCATTGACAGGTGTGGATAGTCCAGACCAGTGGTGGGCATTAGAAGTCAGCTGCCCTGTATACCTGACAATAATTAGTTACATTTATAGTAATAGTTCACTCTTTGCAGGAAATTGGAGGAGTCCTCTGCAGACTGTTAATGTACTGTAACTATTACCTCTGTACCATATCTACAAACTGATGACAAATTAAAGGAGAAACCTGAATAAATGAGTGCTCTCTACCAGGATGACAGCACCCCCATCTATAGGAAACAAGAGGTCACTGAGTGGTTTGATTAGTATGAAAATAATGTGAAACATATGCTGTGACCTTCACAGTCACCAGGTCTCAACCCTGTTGAACAGCTATGGGAACCTTTTTAGCGACATGAGGGAATATCTTATGGAAGAATGGTGTTGATCACTCCACTAGACTTCAGAGAATAGGAGAGTCAATGCCAAGGTGCACTGAAGCTGTTCCGATGGCATTTGGCGGCCCAGCACCTTACTGTTGGTTTTTTTCTTTAATACTTCATCCATCTATACACAGCATGAATCATTTGTAGTTAACAGAGCAGTCCTATCATTTATGAGCAACATTTTGCATTATACAGTCCAAGAATTATGGTGATTTATTTCAGCAACCAACACTGACTGATGCTGTAAACTGAGGTCAGTAAAACACCAGAAGACCTGAGGGGATTATGATCATTTTAGGTTATTCTTTCTATCCTTTCTATTTTTAATAGCAGGCCTTCCAATAAGAAGTTATAAAACAACACATGTATGACTACATGCCATGCTCTGGTGTGTCATACTCAGACTGGACAACCTGGGAATCAAACCGCTAATCTTCCGATTGGGAGACAACCCACTCTACCTCCTGAGCCACAGCCACCCCCCAGGTCACACATTTCCCATGTTTTACAATGTATTTAAACAACATCATAAACCAGAGCAATAGAGCACAGTAGTCAGTGATGTGGTAAACTGAGATTTTCAGTTCTTTCCTTAACGTCTCAATTAATTAATAATAAAACTTTAAAAAGCAAAGGCTTGAACACGAACTCTACATCTGTCTCAAGGCCACATTAGATGTGATAATTATTCCTTACTCTGCAGAGTGGCAGAAAGACACACTACTGCCAATTCAGAGGCATTGTTGTGGTGACATTTGAGTGGAGGATCAAACCAATGGTGAATAATCCATATTGAAAAGCTGCTCTTTCTTCCAAATGTCAAACAGCAGCAGGAGCCATTGTTCAAGAAGCTGACTCTGAAACCTCCAGTTCACCATCATCACAATGTTGTGTTACATACACAGCATTGTGATGATGTGAACTTGACAATAAAGAGTGCACAGAACATAAAGTTTGCATTACATTCACTCGCTGATAGTCTTGTCTAGTCTTGTCATGTGCTTAAAATGATACAGTTAAATACAATCCCTTGTTATAAATGTAATAGAGTGTGAATTAATCACCACAAAATAGCCATGTTTCTAGATCAGCTTTAATTTTGTCTAACAAAATATGTTTTAAAATCTGTCCTGTCCCATTAATCATTTTGTGGTACCATAGGTTTTTCTTGCAACCCATTTTGCACTCAACCTCCAGGTTGGGAACTTGTGGTTTAAATGCTGTGTGGTGTCCTACCAGTAGGAGAATATTATACTACTCAGAGGGAGTACTCGATACTTTTCAAACATTTTGGAATGATAGTGGTCAAAGCGCAGGAATCAGTCCAAAAATACCGCCACTGGTGTCGCATTTCAGACTCCTGAAGCAGTCAAACCACACTGGACAGATTGGTTTTGTTTGCTAGATCTAATTCAACAAATTCAACAGAAACCTTATGTATGGCAATGTATTGAGAATTTAACTTGACAGAAAGGATATTGTATTTTATGTAGATGTAAAACATTTATAATTGATGGCATTCTGCTTAAATATCAAGTTTCCTTTCCTGTAACTGTAGCTTCACATGCATCATCATCACAGCAGTATAGTCTATAAACTGCTCTTATTCTTGAGGACAAAGGAGATCTGTTATGGAGAGGCCCCACTAAGAGATTGCACTGCAGCGCTACATCTCACAAATCCAGAAAACTTCACTCTCATCCTCAGCCAGGCCTTTCCACATTCATTATCTTCTCCAGCGCATGCAGCAAGTATGAGCCAACATCAACTTCCTGCTCCGTTATCACTGCTTACTGCAACAGTCAATACAATGAAGACAAAGATCTTAATGTTGTTGTTGTCAGTCAAGAACACATCATAGTCTTTTGTGGGTGCTCTAACTGTCCTGATTTTTTAACCGTCAGAAACTGGTAAACAGAAGTATTTTAACTATTTTATTATTATTTTAGTCTCCAGTCCATATTTTTTAACTAATAAGCAGCCACAAGCTGGTCAAGCTGCAAAAGAAACTGATCATCTGATTTGGACAAACTAGATTAAAAAAAAAAACGGTGTGTGCCTTCAATCAGTGCTGAGTGGACAGAGGGTTTGCTGTTCAGAAAACCACTGTCCCTCGCTTCTGTAAACACAACCTGGGTTTCTAAATATAGGCTGAAAACAGGTCCACTGTACACAAACACACACTCATGCCCGTTCTTTCCCTCGTCATACACTGACTCACACTGTTCCCATGGCACACATCTTTGAAGTGGTTACAGCCTGTGCCAGCACACGTTTGGTGGTGCAGGAAATGACGCAGCATGGATGCATCAGCGTTCTAGTGTTCACTGTTTGGAAATGCATTCAAATATACTGTAACCCTGTACAGAATGAAAGCCTCTTTGTCCCACACACAGTACCATTTAAAGAAGATTGTTATTATTTTATGTGCACACAAATTTATCAGAACTAAGAGTCTGCATCCACTATACAGTTTCAGTTCTGGTAGGTTTCACTTGGACACAATGAACTAAACACTAACGCCAGCATTCTAACATGGCAATGCTAACAGGCTGGTGTTTAGCAGGTAAATATTGGCCCGTCTTAGTCTAGCATGCTAGCATGCTAACATTTGCTAACAAGAGCATTCAGAAAGCGCATGTACCTCCACCAAGGCACAGCATTCACTTATGCAAATGGGTCCCTTCTGAAAAATGAGATCAGAACAACAAAAAAATGTATCCTAAAATTCTTGATCCAGATCAGATCCGGCTCATCTATTAAGGTATGATAGTCAGTTACACTGTTTATCTTACCTGAACATGTCAGGGTTCTATGTTCATAATAAGCCAAGCTATGGCAGAAAATATGCTTTAAATGGGGGTTTCAATGTTAACTTTATGTGGCCATCAGATCTGGATGAAATTTGGTCTGGTGATAGAAATTGCCACCCTGTATATGTGCATTAAATTTCAAATGTTTTTGATAACTTTTGACAGAAATGTGAATTTGTTCAATTTTGCCCTATGTAAAAGATAGGGATTTGTGTGATTTTATTTTTGTGACCTGGACCTTTGACCTTCCATCCATCTATAACACTTATTCCTGAATAGGGTCACGAGGATGCTGGTGCCAGTCTAAGCTGACACTGGGTGGAGGGCGGGTACACCCTGCACAGGCACAGGGAGAACATGCAAACGCTGCACAGAAAGGCATCGGGTCAGCCTGGGGCTCGAACCAGGAACCTTCCTGCCGTGAGGCGGCAGCAGCTGTGTAGCCTAAACCCAGTACAGCTAAGGTTAATTGGAATGTCTTTAGGTTTACAGGTAGCTGTCAACAAAATGTTTGAAAAAGTTCAATTTTGACAATATGATGGTGCCAGCTGAAAAGTCGAGGCATCATCATGTTTTTACAGTGAATAACATAAATAACTGTAGTGAAATTCATGGTAATCCATCCAATCCGGTTCTGTACCGGAAACAAATTCCTTGTGTGTAACATACTTGGCCAATAAAGGTGATTATCCTTATCCTCCTTATCCAATAGTTGTTGATTTTGATAAAAATCACAAATTTCCACCACACTGAGGTCATTAGGTTACAAGAGCCATGGATGTCTATGCAAAATGCTGTGCCATTCCATCTAACATTTGTTGACATATTTCATTCTGACTTCCCTTTAGTAATGCTGCAGTTTAAATGAAAATTTTATCTATTGTGTGCATCCAGATTACATGCTTACAAAGACATCAAATTTTAAGACCCCTACAACCAGGCGCCAGCCTGTGGGAATTGAAATCACATCACCCTGCCCAGGAAACTTCAAGGAAGTCTGAATCACTGAACTTCCCAGGAGGGTAAGTAACAATTGTTCACTTCATTTGTTTTGTGTTTGCCCTAAGTCACAGTCAAGATGTTGAATTCCCAAGATTTTCCACTCTCCATCTTCCCCACAGCAGAGCATCAGTTGTCTGAACCATAGCCCCAATAACCAGTGTATCAGAGGTTCTACTACTTTTCATCTGTTCCTTGTTTTACAAAGATTCGGATAAGTAACAAGTTACATTTAAGTCACTTAGATCTGTGCTTACAAGTAAAACAGTGATGAATGATGTGTGTAACCGGATTATTTTTGTGCTCACCAGCAGATACTGTAGCACTAGTGTAACTGTAGAGTGAAAGACCAAGAAATACAATACAGTAATCTACAAAGTCCTAAAAGGGGAAACTGTTTCTCAAGCAAGCAAGTAAATTCCTAACAGATTGAGCTTCTGTGATTGAAGCCCATTGTTTTTGACAGAGCAGCTGAAAGACACTGCAGGATTTGTTTCGGGCCAAATACAGATAACATTAGCAGAGGGACAATGGGGTCACTGATCTGAGTTTTTCTTGTAACAGAGAAGAACCTTATTGACGGAGTCATGAATTACAATGCAGTGCATGTTTGCAGCCCATGCGTGATGGTGCAGCACTTCTGTATTCAGTCTATTACAAATGTAGCTGTTGAGATCTTAAATCAATAGTCAAAAAGAAAAGAAACACAAACTTTCTTTAGTGTTGATTGTAAAATCTTATCTTGTTCATCTGCAAGACTTTAGGTGCTAAATGTGACCTGACAAAGTAAGACACCCTAAACTAGACATCTTTTCTTTGCTGTACAGAATTTTAATTGTATAATACCACAAGTAGAATCTCATTCAAAGCAGGACAACTACTGCAGATGTAATCTTCATTTATCTGTCATCCTCCCAGGGCTTCAGAGAGGGTCTTTATCAGGGCTCCACAGAAAGGAATTCGCTAGAACTCCAGATGAAATATGAAGGATTGATTTCAGCAGAATCACTACTGGCAGCCGTGAGAAGAGAAGATAATTACCACTATGACAAGCTTTGATCACAGGTACAGTTATTCTCAGAATATTGGTGTTGACAGAACACTGAGATGAACAGCCCTGAAATTCACATGAATTTGTCCTAGTTTTACTTTTTTTTTCTGCCTCCATTATACTTAGTTTCTGAATAGAACCACTGTCTAGCCATGAAGAGCTAGGTAGGACAAAATGGGGGTAGTTGATGTGGCATGGATTAGATGTCCATACAGTATCTCTCTCTTGATTTGTAGAAGTGGAGGAAAGGGAACTCATGAGTACTGAAATGTTCTGAGGGGGGGAAAGTAGTGGGTAATTCATCTGTGATCTGTAAATACAGTGGGTGGAATGAATCACTGTGGTTTCTTTCTTGTCAAGAGGCAGCAAATAATTCAATAAAATGACAGAGGGATCGGTGAGTCTTATGTTGGAGTCAGTTTTAGAAAAGTAGGAGGTGTGGAGTCAGGAGGAAGAAGTCATGAAGAAGAAAAAGCTCAAGGTGAAGATGTAACCTCACTGCAAAGAAGAAAGGTTTAGTTTATTGAAATCTCATTGAAAATGCATCCAGACCACAGTGTAGCCCTAAAGCAACATGCCTCCTACACTACCTGCCAGGGCTAAACTAAGATGCAGCATTTGTTAGCAAAGCCACCCACTAATAGGAAGGAAGCAACCTTTGTGTGTATGTGTTTATAGGTCAAACAAGTCAAATGAGTCAGGTTTTCCCCTCTCTGACCTCAAAATGTAAACAAAGCACCATGTGAATCCTTAAGTCAGTGCTTTGTTTATTATATCACATAGGGTCTCACAGTTTGTAAGTGTATTCTCCCACTCCTGCAAGACTCATTTAGGTTTGACCTCCTCCTGTATCCTGCTCAGTAGTGCTTCACTGATGTAGTTCTCCTGTAGGCTCAAATGCCTCAGTGGAAACGACATCCTACAGAGCAGCGCCCCCATGAGGTCATTTCCTCCTACGTCACTGATGCCGTTTCCATCCAAATCTACCTTCTGCAGACTCATGTTCTCTTTCAGCACATCGGCCAGCAGCCTGACCCCAGGGTCTCCCAAGTTGTTCTCGTCTAGGATGATCCGAGTCAACGAGCTGTTTTCTTTGAGGCTGTCAAAAAGTTCCTTCCATGCCGCCAAATCAGCCCCACTGGTCTGCGCAAGCCCTAAGTAGTGAAGGTGTGAGTAGTGCCTCATATATGACGCTAACACCTTTACCCCCTCACTGCTCAAGCCATTTCCCCCAATATCCAGTTCTAGAAGTGCAAAAACCTTAAACGAGCTCCACCCAGTGGGGAGATGTGGAACAATATTGTGCTCTGAGGGGCAAAGCATGGCCTGTTGGAAGGCAGCAGCCGCTCTTGCTGTTTGTTCCTGCAGCTCAGCTATTCCATTCAACAGGGACAACATTCCATGGTCACGCAGTTTGTTTCCAAACAAGCTGAGGAGAGAGGAGAATAATTTGATTCCTCCATGAGCTGTTCACTTCAAAGAGTAGCCCTTATGTGCATCTGTAGGACAATATCACAATGATGTTTCTTATCTGCTTGTTCTGCAGATTCAAGATGATTACATCTAAAATCATGTTGTAAAAATCATCTTTTTCATCTGGAAAAATTCTGCCTAAATGTCTTCTAAATATCTTTAAATGATTTTTTCTCCTTATGTATTTGGTATGTTTATTCAAAAACAAAACTAAGGATTGCATAGTTGCATAACAAGTGTTTGAATGGATGCATACAAGGGCATTTAAATGTACACTTTCATCATCATATGCTAGATGCTTTCAATTTCTTGAAGGGACATGTGGGATCTGCTGTGCATGTTAAATAAACTAACAGTTCCAGTTTAAGAAACACCATGGAGAGTTAGATAAGGAGCTCAATACCATGTCTGTCTGTTAAATATAAAGCTTCAAGCTGGTTAGCTTAGCTTAGCACAAAGACTGGAAACAAATGTTATATCATGTTTGTTCCATACTGTACAAAATCAGCAGTGTAAAAACAACAATTAGCCATTTCATGGAGGGTTATGTGTCAGACTAATTCTTGGCTGAGGCCACTAACTTCCTGGAGTCTCTGCTGG